GAGACCTAGTAACTTGGGTTATAATTAAGGTAACTATACTTATAATTGCTTTACAACCCCAATTCAGGTACTTATCACCCTACTTACTAAGTCCCATGATCCTCCAAGTAAGGCTGCATACGTTAGCGTTAACGTAGGGACCTTAACAATTAGAATAGGGTTTTGGGGTAATACCTTATAACTAACTATAAGAAGGAGCCCCAAAATACTACTGGTAATTATTTTGGGCTTCTATATCAACGCTTTGCGGAAGGATTGAAGCTTACCGTAGCATGTGGGCTCCGCAGTGCAATTGCGTAAGGACTCTGCATACCACCGCTTCCTCCATCGCGCCATCGGCATCAAAGCCTCCCTAGGCCGTAAACCCCAAACAGTAGCCCTAAACCCAAAGCCCCAGACGCGAAGCCTTGTTGTGCTTCCTTTGAGCCTCAGAAACAATCCTACCACTCTCCCTGTTCCCCTCCGCCGCAGCGAATTTCAACTGCCCGAGGGCCCGACACTGTGCCGAAGAGGGCCCTCACTTTGGGGTCCAGGTCCTCCAGAGGCTGAGGGTTTAGGGTTTAGGGTTTAGAGTTTAGGGTTTAGGGTTTAGGGTTTAGGGTTTAGGGTCCAGGGTTGAGGGTTTAGGGCTCAGAGTTTAGTGTTTTGGACTCAGGGTGTTGGGTTTAGTTGGGGATCCCAAAACCTGCTTTCTCAGGAGCCATATCCCAAAATGAAGGGGCTTGACCTATTGGTGTGCAGGCTAAACTCCCAAAACCCTAAAACCCTAAAACCGAAAAGCCCTGAAGCCCGAAACCCTCAAAGCCCTAAAACCTAAAAGCCCTAAAACCCTAAAAGCCCTAAAGCCCTAAAAGCCCTAAAACCCTAAAAGCCCTGAAACCTAAAAGCCCTAAAGACCCCTAAAGCCCCAAATCCCTAAAGCCCTAGAACCCTAGAACCCTAAAACCCTGTAAAACTTCGGTGTATCGCTCACAGTCGGTGGGCTTATGCAGTTGATGCGCCAGCGGCAACCATGAGCGTAGAATGCTGCAACTTCTTTTTCAGCAAAGCACACATGTAAGGCTCTGACCTGATTGTACATCTTTACATGATGGTAGATGCCTACAGTGTGATACTTGAGTCTTCAAGGCGGATCGGCAAGCAAAATGCTTTATGCTCAACCCAGCACATACACTCGGGAGGATCCGGATTTCATCACTCCTCCTTGACGCCTTCTGTAAAGTCAGCGTCACACTCATTCCTTCCCGAAGATCCGACCATGGTCTGCTTCAACTTAATAAATCCTGTTCCCACCATTCTCTGCGCAGCATCTACACAATGTCACCCTGTGGGTTCGAGAGGCGTTACGCAGTCCCCAGCAATGTTCGAACAAATGTAGTCTGTCTCCATTCTGTGTCATCGTGAAGGGACCTTCAAACATCCGTACTTCAACTGGAGGAGGTGGATGGACCCTTTCAAAAACAGGCTTATCGGTCTGGGTTTCTTTGTGGATTCCTTCGGCTCTTTTCGGCTGCTTGTTGTACGTTGAGGAAGTCGAAGAAAATTCCTTTGGCATTTCCGGAGGTGTAGTTGATGACGACGCGGGGGTTGTCTTCGATGTAGCTGTCCGTTCCACAGGGCTTGATGGCAACGTAGGTACCGGGGAGGAAGAAGGCATCGTCCGTTCAAACTGTTCCTTTAACTCGTACATCCTCTTCATTTGCTCACTCCCGAGATCCGAGGGAGCCAGCGCTAGAAGTCTTTGAAGCTCCTTCAGCTCTGCCTTGCTCAGTTTCGACGCCTTGGTAGCCTTCGCTTTCAGGGCCTTGAGCCTTGCAGTTTGCATCCGAAAACACTTTCGTAGGCCCTCCCAAACCCCGATCACCGCAACCGCCAAGACAATGATAGCAAGGTAAAGATCCCAAGGAACTTCTGGAACAATGTTCTCCTTGACACTATCCTCCCTCATCGCCCTTGTGCCACATATCTGACACAGCATCAGGAGCTTCATCAGTAGGCCGCTTTCAACCTTTGCCGCCTTGATATTTGGAGCAGCAGTGTTGGACCGGTCAACTATGTTCCATAGCCCGACAAGTTCCTTTAGCCGTGTTCGAGTGAACGGCTTAGTCCCTAAGTCTGCCTTTTGTTCGGCGCCGGGAACATGTCGTACGTTCACCTCTTCCTCCTTAATGCGCTCTTTCATCCAGTGAGACCTCAGCTTGAGATGCCTGGTTCTCCAGCTTCCGCTGGAGGAGGTGAGTAGAGTGACTGCTGCCTGGTTATCGACGTAGAGGTTGATAACCAAGCGCCGCCCCAGTATCTCCTGAAGAACCCCCCGGGTTGACATTGCCAGCAGGGACCCCTCTATCCCTTCGATGAGTTCACTTTCCGCTGTCGATAGCGTCACTAGCGGTTGGCGTGAGGAACGCCATAGTAGTGGACTCCTTCCTAGGAATACTCCGGAAGACCCGTGACTCCGTCCTCCACTTGGTGCAAACGATGAGTCTGTGTACACGTTTAGTTCGGGGATCTCATCCTCATCTTGAGTCAGCACGATGCGATAGCCAACCGTTTCATTCAAATAGTCGAGGAGTCTCTGGCCTATCCGATTGACAAGCTCTGGATTTCTCGTAATTCTCGACGACATAAGGGCCACAATGTACTGGAGATCTGGGCGTGTACGGCTCATCAACCACATCAGCTCCCCAACCCTCTTCTGAGCTTGCTTGACTTCAGCTTCCAAGCCCTCAAGGTTCGTCGGTTCCGCGTTCACCAGGGCCTGCTCCTCCTCGTCCGAGAGAATTAGGAGTTCCTTCGGTCCCTGACTCATAGATCTCGCCCCATTGTGTTTGTAGGAGCGAAGGAGCTCTCGAACAAAGCCTTCTTGTCCTAGTTCAAAGCCTTTTTCGGTCTGATGCAGCTCCATGCCGAGGAAGCGGATGGGGTGATTATAGTCCAGGATGTCTAGTGCATCCACTTCCCATTTCTCTGCCACCCATCTGTAGAAGCTGTGGAGCACCGGTTCCTCTGCCTGAATCAAGAGGTCGTCGATGTAAACCAGGACGTAGCCATATACCTCATTGGTAGCACCGTCCTCCCGAACAACCCTCCAAATCTGATCATCTGTAACCAGCTGCTCCAACTTCATCATGGTCTTTTCCCCGTTGACCTCACTCAACCACCGGGCTTTCTTGAGCTCGCCATCCCTAAACTGTGACCATAAAGCCGGGCTTTCTCGCAAGCCGTAGATAGCCTGCTCCACATACCACATGTCTCCTCTTTGCGCTAGCCCGAGTTCGTAGGCTATGGCCGGAGGTTCCATGGCCACAGGTTGTCCCAGCCACTTGGCTAGGACAAAAGCTTGTCGCACATCGGTGGTTCCGGTCTTCCATGGCTTCCTGGCGTTCAGCGTCATCATTGTTCGAAGGGATACTGTATCGACGCCCGCGGCAAAGAGGTCGGTCGCTTCATCATCCGGCACATGATTTCCACAGGCAACAAACCTTGTCTTTCGACGATAACCTTCCTTATCAGGCTTCACCGTGTACACTCCTTTGCAGGGAACGATGCGGCATCCTGGAGGTAAGTCGGCTCTCTTCTTCACAGTGAAGGCCCTTTTTACTTCTGTGAGGTTGACATACTCCTTTCGTGCCGACTGTCTCCATTTCTCGATATTGCTTCGTACTTCGCCCAAGCTGACGTTATGCGTCACCTCAAGTTTGGTGCCCTTCTGGTCGATGTCCTTCAGAACCTTCTCTACATCCGGAGTGTACTGCACCTCGGCCTTTTTAAGAAGACGCTTCAGGCAGGCTGCCTCATTCGGAGGAGGCGTAGGGTTGTCCTCATCAGTGGGCTCCTTCGGGAAAAACTCCTCCTCATCCATTTCGACAAAGGCATAGTTCACAGCATCTTTGGTCTTTATCGCCTTGATCCCTATGTTGCCCTCCGAAGCCTTCTCATCGTCGTGCTCCTCCTCTTCCTCAGAGACCTGGTCATCTTCCTCCGTGGAAGACGCTGGCACATTAAACCCCGCTTCATTCAGTTCCTCGACCATCTCTTCAGTCAACTTGGTTCTTCTTGGAGTAAAGGCCAATAGCACCAAACGTTCTCCTTTCCATGGTTGAACCTCATGCCATCCTCTGGGGGAAAAACTGACTGGTTTGCCCACCTCCATTTGCTCCATGCGTCCAGTCACCACCTTTCCATTCGGTAAGGTCTTCTCCTCTTTATAGGGATCCTCGACCTCATCGTCCTGAACCCATAGAGCTCCTTGATCAAACGCCTTCAGAGGGATCACATAGTTCCTCGTTGTTGGCGTATTGTGAACGTCACGATGAAGGCCCAGCTGTGCATTCTTTGCCAGTCCCAAGGCCGAAAACTCCACTTCTCCACAGTAACGTTTGACGCATCCCGTCAGGTAGCGCGTGGTCCATGGAAACTCCTTTGTGTTGTTACGTAGTCCCGCAACTCCACCATGAACGAAAGCACCTGAGTACCACGAGGACACCGCTGTCTTTCCAGACATCCTTCTGTCCACATCACCCAACAGCTCTAGGAGGTGGAAGAGCTCCACTGTTGCCTCCAGATCGTAGTTTCCTGCTTCATGCAGCGTTCTCGTTCTAAACTCAATCTCCTCCTTGAGCTGCTGCCTGGTGGGGGGTACATTTTCAGAAATCACTTCATCCGGTAGGCCTTCAGCCATTGCTGGTGGTAGTAAATGAAGACACTCCTTGACCGGGTCAATCACATTGAACTTGACACTTTTAGCCACCGTCAAACCCCCATCATCGCGAAGGATGACATGGCCTCGTTTCACATCGCTCGCTGGTCCACCATACCACCCCTTTTT